CTGATTCGAACAACTACGAAATTTTACGAATTGTGTTGCACATCTATTCATGTTCACAATTGTTGAGTCATTACAATAGCAAACCGAAGAACTAACAAATAAGTAATGTTAGAATCATTTAACATTATTAACCAAGTATTCAAACGTTACATCAATTATATTAGATTGCAGTTGGTTGGAGTACGTAATAATTCATAACAAGTAGACGATTCAATTTGAAACGCAGCTTAGGATTTGGGGAAAACACGTTTAGAACCTTCAACTCAACAAAAATTTTTTTCATAAAAATGTTGCAGAATATCTTATGAATGTGATACTAATTAAATATTAAAGACAAATTCGAAGTACTTCCTGTGTAATAACCACTTTTCCTGAAGCGCGTTCTTCATTAATTCAAGTGGATCGGAGTATTTAGTGAAGCATCCTTTACCAGTCTCTCCAAGTGTACAGAAACATGCATTGGAAAGTTATGAAGATATATTTGAAGACAACTTATTAGTCATATGGTTGAGTGTTACTCCTAGAATGCTAATAAATGCTTTAACTCGACGGATTAATCCCTATTAATTGACCACAAAGCACCTACTTTCCAGCTTGAATATCGTGTTGCGGCAGTCTTGTTTAATGGACGACACGGTGTTATTTTATAAATAATAATAATTGATTAAATATTGTTATTGAAAAATGAAAGAACATTGAATTATGGTAGCAAAAAAGCTAAAAAAGCTTTTAATTTTCCTCAATATTCCTAGGTTTACTTAAAAGATACTGAAATAAAGTTAACCACTCTTTATTTATGCTTGTTATAGACACAGGTGATTTATTTAAATTTAATTTTTTATTTCGTAATTTTTGGTCATTTATAATAATGACTTATATTCAATTTCGTAACGATATTCGCAGTAATGACGAAGTTGTAACGTTTTGTAACTGAGCGTGTGAGCAAGGACTATTAGTTTGAGGCGCAGCATCAAACTAATAGTCTGCGGATAAATTGAAAAAGACACGATTGGTTTTTGGAAGAATGACTTGGCAATCCACAGAAACTGATTCAGTACAATAAATGAAAGATGTACTATAATGTGTCTTGCACCAAACTATTCTCTAGCAAGTATAGGTACGCCAGATGGCAGATTTTTAATGAATAAATCTTATGAATATCATATTTATGAATAGCACTCGATTTCTTAGATCTATCCAAACAAGATATATTTTCACAACTTTATAATTCGTGATGTCTTATTCTTGATATTACAATGTCGTTTAAGATCTCTTAACAATTTTGCCTATTTCTCTTAATGTAAATAAAATATTTCATTTGACATGATATTTTCATCTATGTGTTAACTTCTTTTTTGGATAGCTTACGTGGAAGTTTGCAAGTCATCAATGGTAATTTATTGTACAGTTTGAAAGTTGGAGGTTGTTTGCGGAATCGCAACGTTCTCTTTAAAGCAACATTTTACGTCTTCATTTGTCTTGTATTTCGTTATGTATTCTTTTGTCCAAATAAATTAAGTATATTATTTATTTGTAGATATTTTTGCAACTTTGTCGGTTATTTGGCTATTGTGAAAATTGTAGCAAAATATGCTATTATAGTCGCTTGTTAATTTAGTGCAAAATCTTAGTACATACACACAGTTTTGAGGTTCAGCAGATTATTCATAGTGCAGTCGTTTACGCTTAATTGGGGTATTAATTAAAGACTTGCATACACTTGAGATGGCAAACCTACAGTTGGATTATGTTTAACTTTTATTTTGTATATGAAACTAAATTTTATTAAACAATCTATTAAAAAATTTGACTCGGTAAGAAAGTTAGTCATTTTCCTGGAAAGTGTTTTGGCTGATAATGTTTGCGATACCAGATGTACCTCTGCCATTTTTTATTTAAACTAAAAAATAGTACTAGTAGAGTAGTGAAAATAGTAGTAGATTGCTGTGTGAAGCATAACTGCAAAATTTTATCCCAATGGGTCCAATAGTTATGGAGAAATTTTTGGTTCTGATTTTGAAAACACCAATTCGAGGAAAACGTGTTTAAAGTTTTGAGTACACTGAAATAACTTTATTTATTTTAAACCCAGAAGATTGGAGATTAAGTTCGCAGCGAACTCTGGAGTAAGGCTGTTCGTAAACAACCCCTCCTTGAAGCTCGCACAGACTACATCACACCTACTTTCTTAAACAGGCCACACTATGACATTGAGACGATACCCTAGAGCTATTTAAGAACGCTGACCATCTACACTGATGGATCAAAGAATGCTGGAGGCTTCGGAGCGAAAATTTTCTCACACGATATCCAGCAGAACTGCACGTCTGCTCAAGCTAAAATAACTGCTATAAATATAGCAGCTAATGTGATCATTGACTCCAAAAAAGTTGGCAGAAACGTCGTAATCTGCACTGAAAACAGACAGACTATGCTAGCTACTGCTTCAAAGCTGATCAACTCCATCTCCCATCAAGCTTTTTGCGATAGATAGGATGAGACTGCCTTTGCTCTAGAAATCTCTGCTCTACCCTGACCGGAAGAGTTCTACTCAGTTCCTGGGAAAATCAAAAAATCAGCTCTAGATGAAGCTGGCGAACACATTCCTTTGTAGAGGGTGTGAAATGGAAGAGAAGCCGGTAAGTCATATTGTTTGTGACTGTCCCAACCTCACTTACTTAACAGAATCCATTTTTGGCGTACCATAGCCCCAAATTTTAGACATAAACAACATACCCTTTTGTTCTATATTAACGTTCATTAAAATCTTGGGCTGGTTTTCTGACCCATGAATGAACCGTAAATAGTAGGGATGTACTTACAAAGGACCCGCTGATATCGTTTTGGCGCTATTTTTCGGATGATGTAATTAATACTTTCATTGTTGTTCTGTGTAAATCTACTTACACAACGTTTCAACAAATTATCATTACAAAAGTCGTTATAACTAGGCTTGATTGCAGTCAGAACTGCTTCGGGAAGTGCTGTATAATTGTGTGTGTAGTCATTCAATTTGTTATCTACATTTACCTATTGCCATGAGCACCAAGTATATGAGTCCTAAGGATATTTTTGTGGTGTGGTTGTTCGTCAGTAGAGTTGTAATGATAAAATGTACCCTATAGGCCTGTTTTGGTTCAAGAGTTACAAGAAAGGAATGCAACAGATGAAGTAACGAAAAAATTGGTGCACTGAATGCCAAAACGGTCGTTGGAACTTTTACATTCTAAATGCGGCAGTGCAAGTTATTAAAAGATATAAAAATAGCACAGTATTTAGAATATATGTACTACGTATTTTGTTATATCACCCGTATGGAAACTTTCTTGACTACATTTTTGTTCCAATGTAACAAATTATTCGTTTATGTTGTGTAGAATGTTGTAAGTTAGAACTGTAATTTAAAATGTTGTGATATAATTTTTAAGTATACAAAAATGGTGTAATATTTAAAATATATACGGTTAATCGTTTTTTTGTATTATTAAGTATAATTTTAAAATTCTAAAATATTTGGTCCATTTTACCAGAGATGGAAACAATTCAAACTGTACACAATACTTCATCATCATTAACCTAAATGATCTCCTGTCGTCATTTAACATCCTTTCGCTGGGTTTTGATAGATCCGTTATCCAACAAAATAATGGATAGAGATTTGATGCCGGAACTTCATCGGTTCACGAAAATAACCGCTCTCATGCAGCGACATTATACTTGCAAATGGCAAGGGATCAAAGAAGTATTTATTACTCCTTCGTTCATCTCTTCTTGAATGAGAGAGATAGAGATCAGAAGCGAAATGCGAAATGGTTACGAGATGAATATTAGACAAGGCGGGCTATATTCAAGTATATAGTCTCTTTGTATAGTCTTTCGTGCTGTGGTCATTGTTGTTGTTTGCTTGCTAGAGAGAGGGACCCCGTAAGGGGTTTGTGAACTTTCACATTCTTCTGGAATGGTAGTGTACAGGTCGCAGCGGCGCCTTTAACGAACCTCTTTGTTCTCCCTAGTTCCATTTACTTTAAGAATTTCCTTTTAAAGGAATCCAAGATCAGTAATTAATTGTGAATAGATGGAGTCAGCTTTTGATGTTAGAAACCAAGGAAAAATTTTCTATACACCGTAGATTCCATTTCCAGTTTTATTTATATGTGAAATACGCACGTGAAACATTCCCAAGGGGGTTTATAAAAGTATATATTAGAATACAAAATGCTTTCTCTTCTTTGATACACGAGGAAATTAGATATAATAAAATATGTTTAGTTAAAACTTAATGAATGTGTTGTAAATATTAGAAACTAAGGAAAATCTTCACATAACTATTGCATTTCCTGTTTAATTTACATGAGAAACTTACATGGTCATATTCCCATAATGGTTTAAAGAAACTTTATGGGATATTGTTTATAAACATTTCTTTTATTACTTCAATTTCTTTATAAGGAATTTTATTGCAAAGAAAATAAGTTTTTGTAAAATTCTCTACTTCGTTTGTTTCAAGAAGGAAAAACTTCTTAAGTACGGTTAAAGAAACTGGTTTCAGCACGTGTTTGGGTTATTTGTGTCCGCGTGCGCAATCGAAATAACTCAAAACAACGCGTGAAACGAGCCGTTTGTCAACGGGACAAGTCGGTGCAAGTAAATGTTGTAGTTAAAAATAGCTTATAGCGTCCGTGACATCTTCTCCTTTTCCTACAATCTCCTCAGATAAGTGAAATAACTGAAATCAAAATAAAAACATCCATATATATGTTTACAAAACTTATTCTAAAATATGTTATGAAATCTTATTGCAAATTATTATCTAGGAATAATCTATTTTTAAGCATAATAACGTAGAAAATTATCATAATTTCAATGCTAACGTTCTAAATCGCAGTAATTGTTTGGTGACTCATTCTATTCAGTCGGTTTTTTTTTGCGTTTCCATAAAAATCAAAGAATTTCTCGTAAAATACAATTTTAGATGTTTTCAATTTCTAATTTTGTTTTAGAACGAGACTTGGGGAGAGGATGGTCAGTATGAACTCAACCCTCGTCGAAACCGTGAGCATCAATTATGAAGATTTTAACGAGAGTTTTCTCACATGCGGCACCTGCTTATGTAAGTAACAAAAAAAAATTCTAGTAAACACTAAAAACCGGAATTCATTCCATTTCCTGTCGTTTAATTACCAGGTCAATGTTACCAATAATAATAATTCACACATTGTAACCGCGTAACAAGCTTAATTTGCGCTGAAACCGGGCTTCGGCGCCGAGAAAGAGAGATAATTGCCATAAATAAGGGCAAAGTCGTGCCCCAGTTTGCAAACGCATTGGAAATAAAGTTATTAAAAAAAGTGTTCTGATAATAAAATTGTAATTATTATTTTTATTTTATTATTACCGTAAAATGAAATCTATTAATAAATGTTTTATGATGGAGTGTTAAGTTTCGAAATCATTTCTGTTCTATTACACGCTTTGTCTCGACGTTTAAATAAACTCACAAATCTTGGGGAGATGTATCCATTAAGCCAATAACTCGGTTATGAGCAGTGTCTTAATAACTCACCATCATGCGTGTTCCTCTCCGGGTTCTATATGTGAACAAGATTGAAAGAGTCAATGGGAATGACCTCGTTTGTATATTATATCCAAATCACTAACTTCTGGTTTTAAACAACTACAAATTGATTGTTTTAATAATTTGATATTTAACCCTTGATGACTTTTATAAGTTTATTAATAGAACCTTTAAAAAATGTTAAATAAATCATACCTCAGACGTTGATTTTTAGAGAAGCAGTATAACAATAACGACCTTGTAAAGAAAACTTACCTACTTATTTGAGACGTTGGTTTATTTTTATTTTGACGAGATGGAAGGCGACGGGTACAAGTGGAAGTTATGAGATTCAATTATCTTATGAAAAGAATCTATGTTTGCAGTGAAAATAAACGAAACAAAAATTTTTACTTTGTACAAGGACATCAGTTTTTCAACAACTATTATCATAAACGATACTGTTATAAGAGTAGATCTTTAACTTGTAATTAGTTATAACTTTTTATCTCTTAATAGCATCTTACTGTTTCTTGAATTTGATTATTAACTTTACTTGCTACTCTTCGTCTTGATCCATACTTTCAAGTAACTTGCCCACTCACAGTATTTCCTCTTCTGTTACTTTTTCGTTTTGAAAGATAATCAAATCTTGGTCGGTAAGTTTATTATCTCCGTAGCTCACTAATAGATCATAATTTCTCCCAAAATCCACGCATACATCGTTCTAGTGATGGAACGGATAGTGATTATGCGAAAAGCCGCATACCGGATATTCGGCATCCCCTTCGGCCATTGCCACATTAATGCGATATTTGAATAAAAATGAAATTAATAAGATAGCTGATAAGATATGTCAACTTATTTGGATCCAAGATACAAAATGAACTTTTTTGATGCTGATTTAACTAACGAAGAAACTCTAAAAAGAGGATACTTTAATTAATAATTGGCGATATTTCCACAAGGATCCTTCAAGAAATGAATTTTATAGCGAATTTACAAAGTTATCGAGCAAAATTGCAACATCGAAAATTCAAATATTGTTTTCTCAAAAACTAAGTTATTTTTCAAAACGGGTTGGTTCATTGGAAAGAGGACACTTTTATTAACACTTTAGGAAATTTTCATACTCTTATTCCAAGAAATACATTTTATACGAATTTTTAAAACTTAATCGGCGAAAATTGCAAAATTCAAAAAAATTGTCAATCATTTCTCAAAAACTAAAAGCGATTTTTCAAAACGGCTTGTTGCATTAAAAAGAGGATATTTTAATTAATAATTGACGATATTTCCACAAGGATCCGTCAAGAAATTAATTTTATAGCGAATTTTGAACGTTATCGATGAAAATTGCAACATCGAAAATTTTATCAAAACTTCAAATATTGTTGATTTTTTCAAAAACTATAAACAATTTTTCAAAACGGGTTTGTTCATTGGAAAGAGGATACTTTTATTAACACTTTACGAAATTTTCATACTCATATTCCAAGAACTGGATTTTATACGAATTTTTAAAACTTAATCGGCGAAAATTGTAAAATTCGAAAAAATTGTCGATTATTTCAAAGATTTATTTCTCAAGAACTAAAAGTGATTTTTCAAAATGGCTTGTTGCATTAAAAAGAGGATACTTTAGTTAATAATTGGTGATATTTCCACAAGGATCCTTGAAGAAATGAATTTTATAGCGAATTTTGAAAATAATCGATGAAAATTGCAAGATCGAAAATTTGATCAAAACTTGAAATATTGTTTTTTCAAAAACTAAACGTTATTTTTCAAAACGTGTTGGTTCACTGGAAAGAGGACACTCTTATTACCACTTTGAGAAATTTTCTTACTCATATTCCAAGAAATGGATTTTATACGAACTTTTAAAGCTTAATCGGCGAAAATTGCAAAATTCGAAAAAATTGTTGATCATTTCAAAAATGTATTTCTGTAAACTAAAAGTGATTTTTAAAACGCCTATCTGCATTAAGAAGAGGATACTTTAATTAATAATCGAAAATGATGAATTACAAGCCAAGAGAAGGAAACAAGACGAAACTGCAACAAGAAATTTTATATATCGTATTGGGATTGTTACAATGACAACTACGACTTGTTGCTAAAGACACACCTGATATAAATAAAGTTATATTCAATGAAAAAAGTCCTATTGGGGTTGAACTTGATTATTATCTGCAGTGTGCAACACCTAAAAGAGATACTAATTCCAACAAGAATTGAATAGGTTTTTAATATCCTTCCAAAGCCGGATATTTGGTAACTATCCGGTATCTATCTTTAAAAAATGTCCAGATAGGCCGGATACCGGATAGTTGCCGGATATCCGTTCCACCAATACTCTGATACAATAAATGACAGTTTATTTGACAGCATCTGAAGAATATTGAAAATATTTTAGATCAAAAATTCCGAATGAACAACCCATGCTACCATAATTTCAAAACTGTAATAATAATAATAATACTTTATTCAAAAAACGTAACCTTATTACATTTAAATCGTCCACAAAAAAAAATACAGAAAACAAAATTTTTACATTATACTATACTTACTTTGTATTTTTTTATAAAAAATGGCCGGATAGGCCCGATACCGGATATTCGTTCCATCACTACATTGTTCCATTCCTTTTTTTTTCAAATCGTTTCAATATTTTTGATGCTGGGTAATATAAGACCTGTATTGGTTCAAGAGTTCAGTGGTTCAGAACCGTTCGGAACTTCAAAACGTTTTTACAAACTGTACCAAATAATATTGAAGATACTCCTTTGCCAGAAACAAGCAAGCCAATGCCTATTATATTTATAGGCGATGAGGCTTACTGATTACCGCGAAATGTGATAAAACCTTACAGTCGACATAACATGTGCATAAATTGAATATTTTAAGTCAAGGTTCTCTAGAGCTAGACGAATTATTGTTTGGTATATTAAACTCCAAGTGGACGACATAATTAAATATATTTGTATTTAACTTAACACAATTATTGCTGTGCACTTTTGTAAGAATACAAATATTCCCTTGTAACCGGTAAAAACAGGTTAGAACTGATCGATCTCTCCGGATTACCCGACTGTTATAGAAAATGTTTTTGTTTTGACCTGAACCTAAATAAACAACAAGACCGCCGGCGAGAGCTCACAAAAATAGCGAAGAACTTTGTGTGAAGTTCGTAAAATAATGTAGGCGAATATTTCAAGGACGAGAACCTATTGAATAAAAGTGTATTTTTTTTTGTTGTTCATTTTATTAATTCTTTATTAATAATTTTTCAAATTTTGAAGAGTAAAAAATATGTTGACTTTAACAAAAGTAATTGGTACCTAACGTCTTTCGTTTTCGAGTTATTTTGATTTTAAGTTTTATTTGGCAAATTTCACCATGCTCTTTAAAACCCCATATCCCAGCCAACGTTCATTCAAAAAGGCTCTAAATTGGCACGATTACTCTTCAGATGCTGTCAAATAGATTGTCATTTATTGTATCAGAGTATCTTATACATGCTGGTCAAAAATTGAATTATTAATGTTAAATGGTTATACAGGTTGTATCTGAATGACTGCAACAAACTTCAAGGGGTGATTCTTTAGTGAATTTTAAGGGTACTTTGATATATGAACCATGGGCGACTTCGGCTCCCCTAAGGAGCTACACCCCTCCAAAAATGGCGGAAAATTTTGGTTTAATTTTTTTTTCTCAAAAACCATAAACGCTAGGACAACGAAATTTGGGGAATATGTTTAACTGGTAGTAGGGCACGTTTTCACCCTATTTGTACTTTCAACCTATCCTTCTAAACTACTAAACGTAACCACCCCCTTTACATTTTTGCTAAAATTTTTTTATGCAGAGGGTAAATACATTAAAAAAAAATTACATAGGTAGATGAAAGTATCCTAAAACTTTTTTGTCTCTCTAAAATTTTTCCAAAAACGACTAATTTTTGAGAAAAAAAATAATAAAGCAAACACTGCCCGTTAAACAACGGGGTTGTCGATCAAAAGTTGGAATGAATTTTTAATGAAAAAATCTTAGTAGGCTTTGCAATCTTTGTCAGAAATATTTTTGACGTTTAAATGTCAGTTTTTCTTACTATTATTATTGTTTTTCAAATTAATTTTTGAATAAAGTTCTATCGCATTTACGCTCGTTCACTCGACGTTTCAAAATTTTAAATAAAACAATAATAAAGTAAGAAAACCACTGATATTTAAACGTCAAAAATATTTCTGACAAAGATTGCAAAGCCTACTAAGATTTTTTCATTAAAAATTCATTCCAACTTTCGATTAACAACCCTACAGCTTAACAGTTAGTGTTTGCTTAATTATTTTTTTTCTCAGAAATTATTAATTTTTAGAAGAACATCAGAGAGACAAAAAAGTTTTAGAATAGTTTTATCTATCTAACTGAAATTTTTCCAATGTATTTATCATCTTCATAAAAAAAATCTAGGCATAAATTGAACGGGGGTGGTTACGTTTAGTAGTTTAGAAGGGTAGGTTGAAAGTACAAATAGGGTCAAAACGTGCCCTATTATGAGTTAAACATATTCCCCAAATTTCATTTTCCTAGCGTTTATGGTTTTTGAGAAAAAAAAATTAAACCAAAATTTTCCGCCATTTTTGAAGGGGTGTAGCTCCTTAGGGGAGCCGAAGACGCCCATCGTTCATATATCAAAGTACCCTTAAAATTCACTAAAGAATCACCCCTTGAAGTTTGTTGCAGTCATTCAGATACACCCTGTATATTTATTAGCCTACCCGAAAGGGGATTTAATTTTCTACAATTTATCTATAAACATTCCTATACCTATTTATTGTAGTTTCCTTCATATTGGGCGATTTACGTGAGACACCTGTATATGGTGTGCCATCTTTTACCTTTTAGCTATTCTTTAACTATTCTTGATCTTTGACTATTCTCGTGTGCCGTGACAGTGCCCGCTGTCTTGCGTTTTGCTTTTCTTAAAAAATTTTCGTTAGTGGGTTGGATTGGGTTGGATATATTTTATTTATACATACAATTGTAATTAAGTTTATTTAATTCAATAAAAGGCATTATGCAATAAAAGACGTCGCTGCAATAAATCGTGCGCACCAGCCTTTGGGGCTTTCAGAGTAGCCTTTATGATGTGATCACATTCGGACGATCGTTCATCGTCAAATGCGGTCCATGTTTCTTCATTTCTGGCAATGAACCTGCATTTCTGCGTATTTCCAAGCTGTGAGATGTAGTAAGGTCTTGAGGTTGATGACTTTATCTATCAGTTTTCGATATCTTTTCTCACTGATACCCTTGTTCTTTTTCTTTGCATTACGTAATCTCCCCCCATGAGCTTTTCTACATGGCATGCGCATTCTGTTTTTTTCTTTGAGCTTTGTAAGATAAGATAAGTCTATCCCCATGAAGGGATACAATGGAAACAACGCTCATATTGATGATATTGATGGATCAATCTCACCCCACCATAAAATAATCAGTTAGACTGCTTTATTAAACATGTAATACCCTACAAATTTTTCCTTTACACATTTTTCCTAAAATCAATAATAGTGGAGCCATAGCTATGTAACGATGTAGCAAAAAACCGGTTTTTTCGAGATATCTACATTTCATCCAAAAAACAAAAAGCGCATTAAATTGAGTTCATGAAACTACAATTCTTTCCCTATTTAATCGTCTCTCTATCTCCGCTAGTTTTCGAGATCTCCATACTAAACATGGAAAAAAACTCACCCTGTATATATGTTTATTATTATTAATACCTAAAAATCAGTACTTTGCAAGATGACGACCGGAATACAATTTACAGAAGAGGTTTTGAAAATTTGGACTTTACTGCAATGTGTTCGATGTGTGACTGAAATTATACATATACGATGAGTATAGAGTCAACATTAGCTAAAATAGTTGGCTATGATCTAACATAATTTGTTATTTTCTTCTGATAACAAATATATATAGTTTGTTGGGTATATTTCTTATAGTTATTGAATAATTAACAAAAATTCTTTTTGTTCTACGTAACACTAATGTATGTATTTAAAAGTTAATGTTGCTGTGGTGATAACCATACATACTATGATGGAAAATAATGTATCAAATAATTGCCGAAGTTTGTATTTAAGAATTCACTAACAATTCTGGCATTATGTGCTGGGGTTTCGTCATATTGAGAATATATCATTTGAGACATATTTAATGGCAAATTGTCGACCAAAGGTCCAATGTGTTGCCTTAATATATTGATGTATCTACCTGAGTTTAAGTTTTCATGGTAGATACTATATGCCAAAATTCTATTAATAATAAGCATTTTATTGTTTTTGATATTTACAATTTTCCCCTTAATACATTCTAATATATATTATAAATATATTATTTTCACCCTCTACCCTCTTCCTCCATTTCCATACCCTCGGCTCCTCGGCCCAATCATCCCCTCATCCATCCCTTTGTCTCCTCACCCCCACAATCATTCTTATCCATCGTTTCCCCTCTCCCCCCTCTCCTAAGATCTGCCCTCGGTACAACTCCTCCTCCCTCAACTCACTGCACCCATTCAACATATGTTCCAACGTTTCCCATTCCTCCCTGCATAGCCTACACCACCTCTCCTCATCGGCCATCCAATATCTGTTAGCTCTCTCCTCGTTTCCACAACGGAACCTAGCCACCAACTTCTTCCCTTCCTCATCTCCTTCCAATAACAAGTATCTAGGCAGCCCTTCCGTAATTATGTCCCTGTACCTTTCATTATACCTCCCCTCTTTTATTTGTGTCCTTCTTTCCTGTCTCTGCACATCTTGGTCCCTATCTCTCAACTCCCTCCACATCTCCCTACCCACCCTTCGTCTACTATTTATCTCAGGTACCGAGTAGCCCGCTCGTCTATAATAGTTGTGTCTGTCTCCTTTCCCATATCTGATCTTTCCCTCTCTAATTTCCCTCCAACACTCCCCCAAGATCCCGCAGTTTGGCCTCCCTTCTATTCTTTCTTCATATTTCACTACTCTCCTGCCCGCCTCCACTCTGACCTTATCCACCTTTACCTCTTCCCTCACTATATACCCCGGTATTTCTCTCGCCACCCCAAGCACCCATCTCCAGTATCTAGCTTGCACGTCCTCCAGCATTGCCTGCTCTCTCCATCCCCATACCTCTGCTCCATACATCATCACACTGCTAACCAGACCTTCAAACATAATCTTCCTCGCTGGCACATTCCTTCCAAAGACTCTCTTCCCCCAACCCCATATTTGTCCCATCACCTTATTCGCCTTTTTTGCCATAGCTATTACATGCGACCCCTCCCTGTTATCCTTCCTGAACACATACCCCAAGTAAGTATACTCCCTAACCTCCTCGATCTCTTTTCCCTCCCATCTCCAGTTTTCTGTTCTTTTTCTCCCCCCCTTACAAAACTGCATCATCCTTGTCTTCCCCACATTCACTTCCAACCCCTTCCCCCTAAAATATCTTTCCAATGTCTTTATCATATCTTTCATCTCCGCCGCTTCTCTCGCCATGACCACGATATCATCCGCGTATGCTAACATATGCACCTTTCTACCTCCCACCACCAAAATTCTATTATGTAAAAGGGCACACCATACATTGAACCCGAATCTTCTTTGAGAATATTCAGAGAAATACGTGAACTTCATTAGCCCAGATGACATTTTGAACAAACAGCAGATTATTTAATTTTTCTAAATATCATCGAAAAAATTCTAATCTTAGATTGGCATCTCCGGCACACAAATGATGAGTTACCTGCGCTTTGTATGATTTATACTTATTTTTCTTTAATATTCGTGGGCAGCTGCTTTTGGGTCAGACGTCTTGTTCAATTTCTCTGCAAGATGTTGATGGATTTATCGCATCTGAAGCCAACACATTAACTTCATCCTCCTGCAGGTCATTTTGGTATGTTTTTGCACGTGGTTTCGTGGAGGACCAAAAATCCGTTAAATTCTCTGCTAACCGGCTGAACATTCTTGCGTGCAGTTGTCTTCTTTACGGATTGTCGTTTTCGCAAAATTTTCAATTTTTACCGATAAGGCGAAAACAAAAGACGATAGCTGTTGGCAGTTTTCGGCATTAGCATTTTCTGCAAAAACGAGATCTTTTAGTTTCGGAGATAGCCTATGCGGACAACGAAATAGGGACACCCTGTACAGATATTGTGGAAGGTTTTAAAAAACTGCATTTAAGCTTTTTTATGTCAATAAAAAAAAACACCTTGCAAAACATTAACACATTTTTTTGTTTCTGTTGTTGCAGATCGCTTATGGATTGGTGGTAAACCAAAAAATATATACAAGACCATTAGGTGTAGCTTTTAGGCCAGCTTTTTATATAGCATGCTCCCTTTTTTCTTTTTTCAAATACTTTTCTTCATCATAATCATTTTATTTTTTTGCGCCTTCTAATATTAATTAAAAGATTATTCACACCTTCCACATTAATCTAAACAATATTCATTGTATAAAAAGAACCAGTACGACATGAGTATGAAACTATTCTCACTTGAAAAACCGTTAAGTGTTAATTAAAACTCTCTCCGCTTCCTTGCTATAATGAGGGTCCCCTCTTTATTTTCCTCCGTGCGTGTTGTTCCCGTGTATGTCAATCTACCGTTGGTTGTGCAACAAGTTTTCTCACAATGGTTTAAACAAATCATTAATTATAATCATAAAAAAATATTTGTTAGTCATTATTGATGTTTTATGGACAATTTTAATTTTTTATATTTATTTTTTTGTTTTAGGTATGTACGATGGTAACGAACACACGCCAAAACTCCTCCAGTGTTCGCACACCGTTTGCTTACACTGTTTGACTCGAATAGCGGCGAACCACACTCGCGATACCAACTCCTTCCGCTGCCCAATATGCCGGGAGCTGATCAACGTGCCAAGAGGAGGAGTCTCGGCTCTGCCACCGTCGTTCATAGTAAACCAACTCCTCGACCTGATGTCGCGACAACGGCGCGAGGTGATACCGAAGTGTTCCGTTCACATCAACCAGGAGTTACTCTTTTGCGAAACGTGCGACACTGTCTTTTGCACCAGGTGCACTGACGGCTCACATAACGACGCAACCGCCAGTTGCGAACATACCATCATACCATTTAGTATCGCCATCAAAAGGATGTCAGAAATATTACTTTATAAAGCCAATGAATGTATATCAAAGGTAAAAGAAAGTAAAAACATTTTATACATGAAAATAAATACTGAAATTGTTTAAGTTTTAAGAATATGAACTCGTTTTGAAACATTTAACCCAACCCATAAAATGATTTACGGTCTGGTTATTTGTAGACGAAACTTTTGAAAGAATCATGTTTCAGTTGTCGCAGGCTCAAGAAGGTGTAACGCGAGAGTTACAGCGGTTGGACGCTGCTAAAGAGAATTGTTTAGACCAGGTTAATGCTACATTCCAGGAAATACAAACGATGTTGGATAAAAGGAAACAGGAAATGATCGATGCCGTTCAAACTGCAGCCGGTGAAAAACGAAAAGTTTTAGAGGAACAACACGCGCTTATTGAATGCGAAAAAAATAAAGTAAATAAAAAATTTTTCTCTTTAAAATTGCAATAAAATCATTGTTTTAAAGGTAGAACAAGAATGCCAAGGACTTCAATACCAAGTGGAAGTACGCAACATAACACAACGCATCGAAAGTTTAACCGAAAAATTGGATGCCGCTTCAAGTTTAGGAGAACCCCGCGAGAATGCATTTTTAACCTGCGAATTTCATCACAACGATAGCATAAAATCAATCGAAAAATACATGGCACAATTAGGAAAAGTCAGAAGTAGCACAACATTTCCTAGTTTGTGTTCCGCTAAATTAATCGGAACTACTATTGCCGGAATTGAAAGCGAGGTAACGATGACTACGTTGGATTATCATGGTGAACTTCGAAAATCCGGCGGAGATCCCGTCCAAGCGGAAGTCCTACCGGTCACCACGGATAACGTCACGACGTCATTACCTGTTACAATAACCGATTGCGAGGATGGAACGTACAAAATACATTTTCGCGCACCGAAATCGGGACGATATGGAATTACGATTTCAGTTTTCGATAGATTAATCAAAGATATGCCGCTTTATTTTGATGTCACGGAACATAATAATCCGTTACAAATTTATGGATCGAGGGGTTGTGGAAAAGACGAATTCATGCAACCCGTTGGCATTGCTATTGATGAACGTGATCAAATTATTTACGTCTTAGATACGGGGAATTCTAGAATTAAGGTGTTAAATTCGGAATTGGAATTTATTAATCATGTTTATAATGAAGGGTTAGGAGGAAGAAGTTGCACAGGTTAGTTTATTAATTAAAATTACAGTAAATAAAATAACGGATTAATACGCGAATAATTTGCACTTTAAACTGTTTGAATTAATAATTTTTTTTTATCCACACCATTGCGCTCTTTATTAGTTAGTTCCAAAAAAAAAAAAAAATTAAAAAACTTTGGAGACGTCACCGTCGTTTCACACGCGATTGGTTGAAATAAAAATCAATAAAAGGTGAGATGCCACGAGAATTTTACGCGCTAGAAGAAGAGATCCGAACGATGCACGTTTGTGTCTTCTTGATCTTACGCGAAAACTTCGTAAACGTCACCAAAGCTTTTATAGAGGGGATTTTGAATTTTAATATTAATTGTTGCAAAAATTAAACAATTTTAGGAACTAAAACTGTTGCCAATCCTTCTATTTTTACATCGATTTTTTGAAAGACGGTCTTTCTATTCAATAGATGGTAATGATCCCATGAAAATTAGAACTAACATTAGACCTAGAACTAGAAACATTCGAGTTTAACCGTCTTAAGAGACGTGGGGCTACTTTAATTAATAATTGGTGATATTTCCACAAGGATCCTTCAAGAAATTAATTTTATAGCGAATTTTGAAAGTTATCAATGAAAATTGCAACATTGAAAATTTAATCAAAAGTTCAAATATTGTTTACTCAAAAACTAAAAGTTATTTTTCAAAACGGGTTGGTTCATTTGAAAGAGGACACTTTTATTAACACTTTACTTTAGCTATCTTAAGAGGCGTGCGACTAAACCCGAATGTTGACTGTATAAAAAAGTTCGGCCATCATGCCGAAGTGTAGTGTGTGTTCGCAAAACGTTTCGCGTTATGATGACACAATTATCTGTTCAATTAATCAATGTGCTCGAGCATACCATACAAAGTGTGTTGGCATTGACGACAAAGTGTTACTGGACCTCAAGACAACCGGGAATGTTGGAAACTGGGTCTGTCAACTTTGTAAATCTGAACCTAACCTCCAAGGTTCAATCAACAAAAAGAATACAATAAATATTGGGTCAGAGTCTACAACACCCACTACCAACGTTAATATCGAAAATATCGACAGTATAATATCATCTAAGGTAAAATTTGCTATAAATTTGATTACCGAAGAGGTTATAAATCTTCTAAAGAAGGAAATACACCATCTTCATTCGAATGTTTGTAACTTAAGTAAAGAAATATCTGAATTCAAATCTGTGACAGACAGCTTAAGGAAAGAAAACTGCAATTTAAAAGCAAAAATCTCACAATTGAAAAATAAACAACAAATTTACTCAGCAGATGGTAATACCGGTCTCATAATCCAAAACGCGATCGCGCTAGAGAAAGAACCAATTGTCGGGCCTAAAATTAGCAACAAAAAACCCGAATCAGAAATATCAAAACCAAAAGAAAAAGGAAGCTACAAATAAAAGCACCCTCCATTGAAAGCAGAACTAGTAACCTCAAAACAGAAACTAAATACCTAGGGGTAATACTTGACAGTAAACTAAATTGGAATTCACACTTAGATAAGGTGAGGAAAAAGGCCATCATGGCAAACCAGATCTGCCGCAGGCTCCTAGGAAGGAACTGGGGTCTCAAACCACGAATGGCTCATTGGGCCTACGTAGCAATAATCAGACCCATGGTCGCCTACGCCTCATTGGTTTGGTGGCCAAAAACAAAACATAAGACAGCTCAACAACAGCTGGCACAAATCCAGCGGTTAGCATGTCTTAACATAACGGGTGCAATGAGATCCTGTCCGACGGCTGCTTTGGAAGCCCTACTCGGTCTCACACTGCTCCACATATATATACAAAAGGAGGCAGCCTTAAGTGCCTTATCACTGAAACCAGTTTCTTCACTCAAGTTGATGCAGGGTAACCTCAGAGGACACCTCGAGATCCTCAAGGACCCATGTCTAAATCACCTGATTGAAATTAAAACGGACCTTATNAACTAAAAGTGATTTTTCAAAACGGCTTGTTGCATTAAAAAGAGGATACTTTAATTAATAATTGGTGATATTTCCACAAGGATCCTTCAAGAAATGAATTTTCTAGCGAATTTTGAAAGTTATCGATGAAAATTGCAACATCGAAAATTTTATCAAAACTTGAAATATTGTTTTCTCAAAAGTTGAAAGCTATTTTCAAAACGGGTTAGTTCATTGGAAAGAAGACACTTTTATTAACACTTTGGGAAATTTGCATATTCATATTCCAAGAACTGGATTTTATACGAATGTTTAAAACTTAATCTGCGAAAATTGCAAAACTCGAAAAAATTGTCGATCATTTCAAAAATTTATTTTTCAAAAACTAAGAGCGATTTTTCAAAACGGCTTGTTACATAGTTATTTTTTAAAACGGGTTGGTTCATTGGAAAGAGGACACTATCATTAAGACTTTACTTTCGCTGTGTTAAGAGACGTGCGGCTAAACCCGAATGTTACTAGTTCTAGGTCTACCGTTGGTTCTAGTTATCTAACACTATCAGTAGAACCAACCTAAGACCTAGAACTAGAAACGTTCGGCTGACAGGTGCGTCAGGTAGATTTCTGCTTCGGAAGCAGTCTTGACGCGTGATACGTGTTGAGTATTTGCTGGGATTTACCGTATTATAGTATAGGGTTTATGTTTCAAAATGGTAAAAGCTAGAATGATACTACTAAAGGTAGTACCATTCTAGCTTCCATTGCAGTAATAGAATGGAAGCTAGAATTCAAAATGGTATAAACGTAAGCTAATGTTTTATATAAAGTGGCTATGTTAAACCTCTTTGTACTCAATTCTCTTGCCATTCTACTAAGCTTTGTTGTATTGAAATAGTCTTTAAACTGATTGCATAGAGTTGATTGACGACAAACACATAAGAATATTGTACTCAAAGAACAGTGGATCCTTATTTTATAACAATAAGCATTATTCCGAACTTTTCCGAACCACATCTATACCCAATTATCCTTACGCTCAAACCGAACCCAACCAAACCTATCTAATCCACAACCAATCCAGACAGTAAACATGTGTACACAATAACTCAAAAATGAAAAGAGACAATTTCGGGAGAAGAAGATTAGTTCGGAAGTAGATACATCTATTGAAATATTCAATATGTTGTCGATTCTGTACGTTCCAACTGAAAATTTAACTGCTGAAATTAATTGTGTTCACTTGCAATTAAAATGACCTTGCAACTAAATATTCTAAATGACATAGGATTTCGACAAGTCTAGAAAGACGAATTTCATTTTGAAAACTCGATGTTTTGTCTAAATTTGACATAAGACTAAAATGGTGTCCAAATCCAACTCAAGACTTAGGTTGGCAACGGTTAAAGCGTTTAGCCTTTATTATCTTGGCAATTTTCAAAAAATGTCGGTGCTAAAACTTTAACAATTAGAAGCTGACGAATTTCGGCCATGAATATGGATTTGATATCTCGATATTTTATTTCAAGTAAACCGAACACATTTCAGATTTAAGAGTGTCTATTTGTAGCCGTCTTGAGAGACGTGCGGCTAAACCCGAATGATTCTAGTTCTAGGTCTTGTGTTAGTTCTAGTGGCAGTGGTAAGTAGCGGTAGTTAGCATAACATATTACTATGTTGTATATTTTTATTGAACTAAAACTAGAACTAACACTAGACGTAGAACTAAAAACATTCGGGTTTGGCCATGCGTCTCTTAGACTGCTAAACCTGAATATTTCTAGTTCTAGGTCTAGTGTTACTTCTAGTTTTACACTAGCACTATCACTAGAACTAACACAAGACCTAGAACTAGAATCATTCGGATTTAGCCGTCTTAAGAGACGTGTGGCTAAACCCGAATGATTCTAGTTCTAGGTCTAGCGTTGGTTCTAGTTATCTAGCGCTATCAGTAGAACCAACATAAGACCCAGCCACACGTCTCTTAGGACGGCTAAACTCGAATGTTTCGAGGTCTAGGTCTTATGTTGGTTCTAGCGATAGTGTTAACTAGAACCAATATAAGACCTAGAACTAAAAATATTTGGGTTTAACCATCCATCTCTTAGACTGCTAAACCTGAATAATTCTAGATCTAGTGTTTTACTATTAGTTCAATAAAAATATACAACAATCTAGAACTGAATAACAATTAAAACTAGAACTACCGTCTTTGATTTATACGTCTCGTGAATATCCCGGGTTTATCTATAAACGTGGAATAGAGTAACTTGTGTTACAACTCGAGTTGGATTCACTCTATGAGCGCTAACATTTATATTTAAATATACTGCTGTATTAAATCGATAATATTCCATTATATCGAGGTTTTACTGCACTAAATAAGTAAGATTAATTACATTTTTGTTTAGGAATTGCTGTATCAAATGATGGCTTAGTAGTTGTTAATTGGAGATCTAAATATGTAACCGAAATGGATACTTCAGGAACTACATTAAAATCGTTTACATACAACGCGTTTCAAGAACCTATAGATGTTGCAGTTGATAACAGTTATGGCCATATTTTAGTGGCTGATAATGGAATGAGTTGCGTCTATGTTTTTGATTCGGATGGAAAAATATTATTTCAAGTAATTGATTACTTTATAATATAACCCAAATTGTTTTTAATGCATTAATTTTTAGGTGGGAAAAAAGGGAACGTTTAAATTAATTTCAGCAGTAACCGTTAGTTTAACGGGAGAAATTATTGTGGCTGATACGAGAGTTCAAATTTTTTCAGCCAAAGGAGATTACGTTGAGACTTTATATGATGAAGGAAAAAGTAATAATTTGTTATTATTAGAATTTTTTCAGGTTCCACTATTCGTAGAGATTTGAAATTTTGGTAGCATGGGTTGTTCATTCAAAACTTCGAATGATTCGATCTAAAATATTTACAAGATGGCCGCCACTTCCGGTCTACCGGAATGCTATAGCTTTTTTTACACCGTTTAATTGTATGTAAAAAAAAATAGGTTGAATTTGATAAAAGTTATTGGTACCTAGCGTTTTTCGTTTTCGAGTTATTTTGGTTTTAAGCTTTTTTCGGTAAATTTCAACATGCTCTTTAAAACCCCATATCTCAGCCAACGTTCATATAAAAAAGATCTACATTGGCACAATTACTCTTATCATATTATATTATCATTTGCTGTATCAGAGTATCTTATATAGGGTGGTCAAAAATTGAATTACCTATTTACCTATTGTAGTTTGTCTCATATTGGCAAATTTATAAAAACTTGCTCGAAATGCAGGTTTTTTTATTAGAAAACTATTTGACAGTTTTTGGTCCATGCTGCATAGATCTCATGTTGCACCAATTTTTCTTTCATTATTTTTTTGAACTTTTCAGTATTCAAAGCTTTTAATTTTGGTGAGAGTACATTGTACAGTTTAACTGATTTATAATGGAAGTTATTTTGTGACTTTGAAGCTTATGTAGTGGTAATATGTCAATATGTCACATCCATGACGTTCTGTATGTATGTAATTCAAACATGATACAATAAAACATGATGGTATTGTTAGTATTTTTAGTGCCTTGAAAATCGTTCGACAACTCTCATTTGGACCCAATTTTGCAAGTATTCTAACAGCTTTTTTTGAGCACTTTTCGTTTCTTTGATCGGTAAAATCCTTGACACCACTCTCAGGCAATACAAGAATGTTGACAAGTTTTGTTTTATTTGTGTTTTATGTTCTTTCCACGCTAAGGTCGAAGAAAGTGTGCCAAATAGGAATTTCACGGTTTCGCCCTTAACATCTAATTTTTGGTATAAAACGTAAGAATTTTGGTTTTTTCCTTATTTAATTGCAGACTATTTGAGTCAAACCATTTTTTCGCTTGCTCTAACATTGCATTAGTTCTTTGTTGCAGCTGCAGAAGGTCTGTAGAAGAATTAATAAAGGATGTGTCGTCTGCATAGAGACAGATTGAATCAGCATGTGTATTGCTTGGCAAGTCATTTATGTATAGCAGAAAAAGTAAGGGTCTGAGAACAGAGCCCCTACTTTTGGTACATCCGCTGTTATAGTTCTCCACTCCAAAGAGGTACCTTTCCACTGGACCTGTTGATATCTATCCCAGAGATATGACGACACTATTTTTAATACATTATTTTTCAAACCATACCATTCCAATTTCTTTAAGAGAATATTATGATTAACAGATGTTCTCTTTTATTATTATTTCCAAGACCTTTGACATTAGAGGTAATATTGATATTGGTCGATAATTTCTACTATCGTTTGCATCACCCGTTTTTTTTTATGAGGGTTATTTTTGCAAATTTTAATTCATTAGGAAAGACTACTTTTCTCATACATTTCTTTATGGCAACACATAAATGTTTCGTTATTATTGGCACCATTTCTTGTAGTAGTTTGAATGAAATGCCATAGACGTCTTTTGTGTTTGACTTCTTTAAATTATTTATAATTTTTACGACATCAGTGTCTACGACTTCATCAAGAGATACCGTTTTTGTTCTTAATTTCTGTATGGAAGTAAATCAGTCAGTTTTGTTGTCTTTGTCCGATTTATTTACGTTAAATTTACCCGCTTGTATGAAATAATCGTTTGCATTTAATGTTGTTTCAGTGTCTTTCCTTACTTTATTTCGTCCTGTTTCTTTCCTTACCATTTTCCAAGCTGCGGTTATTTTATTTTCAGAATTGTTTATATAATTTCTAAATGTTTCCTTTTTTACGTCTTCTGTTTGTTTTCTGAAATCAATTCTTAGGCTTTTATACATGTCTTTGTATTGATCTTGTCGTGTTACCTCAATTATGGTATATATTACGTTTAGTTGATTTTTCATTGTTTTAAGTTTTTTGTTTTCCCATATCAAATTTGAGTTTTTATCAATCTTTTGGGTTGTTTTTTCGGGAAATGCAGTCTCATAGCACCGTGCAATTATTTAATGGAAAAAGGTAGCTTATGCGTTATTCTTTTGATCGTGTGGGTGGGCAAATTTGGGTGTTATTATAGGCTATCTCAGAAACTATAAGAGATACGAAAAAAGTAGGTGCCATGTCCCGGTCTCTTTTTTCGAGACTAA